GACGACGACGACGACGACGACGACGACGACGACGACAACAACAACAACAATAACAAATATGCGGTGCCGTCACAAATTGATAGACTGAAACACCAAACAACAACTCACGTGCACAACATCCATACAAGCATGAAAAGTCAAAACATCTAAAAACAGAGCAAAGGCCCTACTTTAATATTACCGGTAGGATATTAATGCCACAGTTCTTGCATTACCAATCAAGACAAAAATTGTTATGCCTTTCCAAATCCATCAGTGGCATACAGTTTTATACATTTCTTTTCCCGCCGTAGTAATTTTGCAATGCATGTAATACGTTAAATCATTTACTAATAAAAGTCCATGTACCATGTTGTCTTTGCGGCCCTTACGCGAATACATTCTTGTATATTCATTAGAGTGTCTCTCTTTATAGATAAACTGAAAACTTCTTTGAACTGGATGTATACATGATAAATACCAGGTGACGTTCTGTCACAAAATAAATATTGCCATTTTGGAGCAAAAAAAACTCTAATTTTTTCTTATATAATTCTTTGTTTGTTCTTGAGATGTAAAGAAAAACCCCAAAAATTGCAGGGGGGTGGGGGGAGGGTATGTTTTTGTTGGGTTGTTTTGTTTTTGTTTTTTGGCTTTTAATGGTAATTTTTAATGTTATCAAAATGTCAAGCAAGCCCTTGTAAGTTTAAATTGACTTTTTTTTAAAGTATGGCCATGGATACCAATACTTTTTTAAAGTTACATTCTTTGTGCTGTTGTTATTGTTACTATTCTTCTTGATAAAGTGGTTGGTATCGTTGTTCGTATTGTTGCTGCTGTTGCTGGTACTTTGTTGATGTTGTTGTTGTTTTTATGTTGTTGTTGATCTTAATATTGTTGTCTCTGCTACTTAACTCTTTGTATGGGTTGTTGACGGGTGTTCTGGTGTGGTTCTCCTTGTTTTCCTTCAAATATCTATCTACATGATCTCTCCAACTTCTTTATTTTGTGTTTGTACTCTTTTGTAACACATCTAATCGTTCGCACGTATATGACATTATCGTGTTGAAGAAGTGCCCTAAACTTTTACCAAGAAATAAACTCTTTGTTGTTACTGTTGTTGTTGTTGTTATTGTTGTTTTCTTCCTTATTGTGAGAGTTTTTAATGTGGATGGAACGTGCTGAAGTCGAGCTGAGGAGCCCCATGGAACAGGTGCTCAGTGTTTTGATAACCCTTATATCCAGTGGCGCTTGTGGTTTGTGAAACTGACCGACTATCATTCATATTGATCTCCTCCCCCTCCCCCCACCATACCCCCAAACAATCCCCACCCTACCTCAACC